CTTCAAAACGACCGGTCGCAAATGTCCAGCGACCGGTCGCAAATGTCCAACAACCGGTCGCTTTTAGGCAGATTCAAAATCATCCTTTGAGTGCCAAAAAACTTTGTATCCTTTTAGGTGAGCCATTTTTTCCAACAATAGTCAACTTGGATTATTATTGTTACCAACAAGTCCACAAAGCAAAAGCTTAATCATTGTTTAAATTATCAGATAGGGTCCAATTCCTGATTGAATTTTGTCTCTCTTTTCATATGGACCCGTCAAAAGATTGATTTTCTTTTCTTTTGATTTTTTTTTTGTTGGTTTTTTTTGTTTTTTTTGTTTTAAGTGTGGCAACAAGAAACTGGCAAAAGAAAAGGAGAAAAGTATAATAAAATTAAAATACTTTGATTTCTAACTCAAATAAAGAATGAAGTAAATACTGCTGATCACAACCAACATGCTGGTTGATACTAAATTACAATAATGAATTAATTATTAGCACTAATTTCACCATATGGTTATTTATTTATTTAGTGCTTTATTTTAATTTTAAAAAAATTCTAATTAGAGGGAATAATAAGTGTGAGATTAGCAATATGTGATCATCAGTTGGAGTTGCTGTCAGCTACAGCCTTTCCATGTGGTGATCTCATTTCACGGACCTTCCTTTCCCTGGACAGAATTTGCGCCACCCTACATACGTGCAGATTAATTAAGAAAATTAATTGTGATTAGTAATGTTTAATCAATATAACATATTTATGATCATGCTAAAAAATAATATTAGATTGGTGAGTAATCAAATATACATACCTTACGAGAGCTTCTTCATTTGTTTCCTGATGAGCAGGCTCATAGATACCGGTTTGCAAATTCACCCTCGAAACCGGTTTCTTCAACAATTCCTCTCCAACTTTTACAAGGTTATTCAAGTTTTCTTGCGTAGCAATATCCACTGAAGATACTGTTTTCTCCAATGTATCATCCTGCACCATATATATTTTCACTTCAACCCGTTAATTATCGATTTTTACTGTGAGTTTGGATCATTGATTATGGTATAGATTCATAGTATGGCAGTAAATATATCCCAAATACCTGAATTCTGAGGTAATTTTTCTCACAGTCAAGAGCTCGAAAAACAGTCGCAAGGTGGAAATCGACCATGTCATTACTTGCTTGAGTAAATACATCTGTCAATGGAGAGGAACCCCCTTTCGTCAACCATCCCAAAAGACCCCATTTAGCTGCATCATCGGCATTATATTTCTCTTCAGATTTTGCTGAACCAGTACCCAACGATATCACTAAGAACCGACCATACTCAGTTGACCTTATAGCAAAGAAGTCAGAATTTCCCTGGTGGATTTCTTTTGTCACTTCGCTTATAGCAACCAAAGCCTGATAAGAAAA